CCTGTTTCATTTTTCTGCAAATGGATATCCAGTTTTGCCAGCACCATTTGTTAAAAAGACTGTCTTTTCCCCATTTGATGGACTTTGGGCCCTTATCAAAGATCAGGTGACCATAGGTGGATGGATTTACATCTGGATTCTCAATTCTGTTCCATTGGTCAATGTATCTGTCGTTGTACCAGTACTGATTATTTTTATTGAATGGCAGCCGCTGTGTATGAAATCTTTTAGAGATAAGACTATGAATGGTGTGATCTTCCTCCAGAGAGGATTTGTCTTACTTCTAGGAGGAAGTTCAGATAGTGGCAGATCAACTCCATCCATTTGGGAATTTAGCTGATTCAAAGCTAAGACTTTGTAAGGGATGGGCCACCCTTATTCCTAGGATGAGGCCTTTCAGAGATTCCAGTGTGAAACCCTGAGGTGTTTGCCAGATCCTTCCTCCTTAGCAGATTCTGAACTCTGATTTCTGTCTCCCTAATCCCATAAAGGAATCAGTCCCTGGATGGTGCAAACGGTTAACACACTCAGGGTTGCACACTCAGGGTTGCCATGAGTCAGAATCAACTCAATGGCAACTGGTAAATCCCATAAAACGGCCAAAGCTCTGTTTAGCCTTTCAGCTTCTCAGCAAATACTTGAAGTTATAAAACAAAATGTCAGACTTCTGTGGTAGACCAAGGTTTTTGTTTTTGTATTCTTAAATCACTGATATAGGAACTCAAAAATAGCATGGTTAGCTCACAATTTCAGTTTTGGATGTGTGAATTTGGAGAGTTATGTAAGAAATTCAAGTGGATATGTACTGTAGGCAGCTACATAGTATGCATTGGAAACTTGAGAGAGGATATGATAAAGTTAAAAAGATAAATACAAGAGCAAAGGACTGGTGAGACAAGTGGAGCCCTGGTGTCACAGTGGTTAAGAGCTATGGCAGCTAACCAAAAGGTCGGGAGTTCGAATCCACCAGCCGCTCCTTGGAAACTGTATGGGATAGTTCTACTCTGTCCTGTAGGATTGCTATAGGGTCACTATGAGCTGGAATCAACTTGACGGCAACGGGTTTTGGATTTTGGTGACACCAGGGTTTAAGAGGATGAGGTCTCAGTTTCTTAGTGCTGCTGTAACAGAAATACCATGAGCGGGTAGATTTAAAAAACAAATTTATTTTCTCACACTTTAGGAGACTAGAAGTCTGAATTCACAGGACTGGCTCTAGCAAAAGACTCTCTTTTTCCACTTTGGAGGACGATCCTTGTCTCTTTCAACTTCTCTTCCTCGGTTTCTTGGCGATCTCCACATGGCATGTCTTTCCCCATTTGTGCGTCCTTGCTTCTGTGCGTAATCTGCTCCTTTTGTATCTCAAAGATGATTGGCTTAAGGCACACCCTACACTGATATGGCCTCATTAACATAGCAAAGAAAACCCTATTCCCAGTGGGATCACATCTACAGGTATGGGGTTAAAATTCCAGCACAAATTTTGGGAGGGACATAATTCAGTCCATAACAGAGGGGCAGAAGAGGGAGGGATGATTCCAAACTACGTCCCTCTTAGAAAGGACCCCTGTGGGCACGAGGCTTTGGGGAGTTTCTCCTAGCTCAATGAGTCCAAGAGATTAACTCCTCTCCCCCGCCCACTTTCCCCGAAGGTCCACGCAGTGCGTCCTGCAGAGCCATGAGCTGCTCCTGCGCTCGGTGCTCCGCAGGCTGGCGCTCCGCAGCAGCACCATCACCACCCTGGCCCAGATGAGACTGTCTGGAAAGAAGAGCCTCCTCCAGGAGCTTCGTGAGCAGCACGCCCTGGAGCAGGGCTCCTCCCAGTGCCTGGACGAGCACCAGTGGCAGCTGCTGAAAGCCTTGGTAAGTGAGGACAGCGCCTCTGCCATGCCCCCTACCCCAGACAGGCCGTGCCCCTTCACCCGGCCCCAGCCACGTTGGCCAGTACCCAAAGTCCTGTTCCCCAGTGTTGCTGCAGGGTGGAAACGCCCCATAGGGGACCACCCAGTGTACCAAAGGGTTCTGAGTGATATAATGAGACTCATACCAGAAAATTCACAGGAGATAGCCACCGTTGATATCAGGGTATGGGGGTAAGGGCCCCTGTAATCTTTGTAAGCCCTAGGTGGCACAAATGATTAAGCTCTTGACTACTAGCCTAAAGATTGGCAGTTCAAACCCACCCAAAGTCACCTCGGAAGACAGGCCTGGCAATTTGCTTCCAAAAGGTCGCAGCCTTAAAAACCCTTTGAAGTGCAGTTCTACTCTGACACGCATGGGGTCACTATGAGTTGGAATCCACTGGACGGCACCTAACAACAACCATCTGTTTGAGGAGTCCATGGGTGGTACAAGTGCTTAACGCGATGGGCTGGTAACTGAAAGGTTGGAAGTTCGAATCTACCTGGGGTGCCTGGCGATCTGCTTCCCAAAAACCAGCTGTTAAAACCCTGTGGACCACAGTTCTACTCTCACATACATGGGGTCGCCATGAGTCAGAGTCAACTCGACGACAACTGGTTAATCTGTCTGAAGGGTTTAACTGATCTGAAGAAAGAATCTGTAAGTTGCGGAGTTGAGATTTAAACCCAAGTAACCTGGCTCCATGTCTACACGGAGGCTCCAGGCCCCAGGGGCAGCCTGTGCTCTACCCCTCCAGCCAGGGGCGGGCTCGCCCTCTCTTCAGTTCTGCCCAGGAAAGCTCACTCTGCCATGGCTCTGGTTGCTCCCTCAGCCCATCTCAGACTCCTTCCTCCTCCACAGAAAGGCAACCCATAGTTCCTGTGTGCCCTGCCTAGGCTTTCTGATGTCCCCAGACTACTCTTAGACCCAGACCTGACTTCAAACCCTGGCCCCACTGTGTGACTTTTGGAAAGTCACTTCTCTGAGCCTCTGTGTCCTCATTGGTCCTATTGTTCAGGTGTCATGGCCTTCTAGCAACTTCTTAAACATGTGACGGGCCACCGATGGTACTGGGTACACAGTTGGTGCTCGATAAATGTTTTTGGGGATCCTTCAGCAGACACTGAGGCTCATCCATTACTGGTTTTAGCAAGCCCCTTTTCTGCCTTTCCCCACCCCTCTCACACCTCCCTGGGACCCCTAGTCAGAGCTTCTCCGTGTCCCTCCCTTCCTCCCCTCCCTCTCCAGGAGGCGCGGGTCCTGGAGGAGGCCAGCAGGCTGGAGGATGAGGCACAACATACCCGGCTGCAGCTGCACCAGCAGTTCCTGGCCGAGGCCCGTGAAGCCGGGCGGCTTCTGCAACAGCACATGGAGCGCGAGGTGGGGCAGGCACTGCTGGGACACGCGCGGAACGCAGCCACCAGGAGCCGGGCCAAGGATAGGGAAGACTTCAAGGTACCTGCCCACCTGTCCCCAGGGAAAAATGAGTGGCAAGAAGGATTGGGATGGGGTGAGCAGCAGCTAGGGTAAACACGCCAGGTCTGTTTCTTCCTGCCACCTTCGCTGGGAGCCTGTAGCCTTGCAGAATTGACTTCACTTCTCCGAGCCTTACTTCCCCATCTGTAAGATGGGACTCTGTCACCCATCTGTCAGCTTATTGTACCGTGGTGGCTTGCGTGTTGATTGGATCCTGAAAGCTATGGCACCAGTATTTGATACCAGTATTTTAAATACCAGCGGGGTCACTCGGGGTGGATAGGTTTCAGTGGAGCTTCCAGACTCATACAGACTAGGAAGGAAGACCTGGTGATGTACTTATGATAATTAGCCAATGAAAACTCTATGGATAACAACAGAATGTTGTCCAATATAGTGCTGAAAGATTAACTCCCTGGGTTGACAGGCAGCAATGGGCTCAAGCGTGCCAGGGATCATGAGGATGGCACAGGACCGGGCAGTGTTTTGTTCTGTTGTACATGAGTTGACTCGATGGCATCTAACAAGGACAATAAGTTGGGGCTGCCTCCCTCACAGAACTGTGACCACCATCATAGCAGTCAGCAGGTTTCTGCCTGCTCTGTGCTAGGCACCGTGGTGGATGCATTTCAAACACTGGCTTCATCTTGACATAGCTCTTAAAGGGATGTGACAAGTCAGAGTCACATGACAAGTCAGTGGCAGAGCCAGGATTCGAACCCAAGCCCCTGTCCCAGAGAGAGGCGTGTACTGTCCCCCACACCGGCCGCCTCTGCTGAGACTCTGAGGCTTTGTGGAGTTGACCCTGAGGGCTGAGAAGGGCAGCCAGAGTCAGTGGTTTACTCTTTATATTTAGAGGAATGATAAATAATGATAAAACCAATACTAGTAATGTGCACCTGACCCAAGCCATGGTGTTTTCAATCACCTCACATGCATGCAAAAGCTGGATAATGAATAAGGAAGACTGAAGAATTGATGCCTTTAAATTATGGTGTTGGCAAAGAATTTTGAATATACCATGGACTGCCAGAAAAATGTGCAGAATCTGTCTTGGAAGAAGTACAAACAGAATGCTCCTTAGAAGCAAGGATGGTGAGACTTCGTCTCGTACACTTTGGACATGTTATCAGGAGGGACCAATCCCTGGAGAAGGACATCATGCTTGATAAAGTAGAAAAAGAGGAAGACCCTCAACGAGATGGACTGACAGTGGCTGCAACAAGGGGCTCAAACAGCAACGACTGTGGGGGTGGTGCAGGATTGGGCAGTGTTCCGTTCTGTTGTACATACAGTCGCTACATGTAGCGCGGTGGTTAAGCGTTTGGCTCCTAACCAAAAGGTCAGCAGTTCAAATCCACCAGTTGCTCCTTGGAAACCCCATGGGGCAGTCCTGCTCTGTCCTGTAGGGTCACTGTGAGTCAGAATCAACTCGATGGCAATGGGTTTGGGTTTTTTTGTTTGTTTCTAAGTCTTAATTAAGTGCTTTTGTCCAGCTTATCTCACCGGAGTCTCACCACAGTCCTTGCACAATTAAGATAATTTTTGTTCCCATTGTACAGACGGGAAAACTGAGACTTATGATTGGACAAAAGACCTGTTTAAAGCCTCCCAGCTAATGGGTGGCAAAGCTGGGACAGGAGCACAGGTCTTCTGCACAGCCAGCATGTCCTGCTTTCCTGAGCTGCTCCCCTCCTCGCCAGCCAGACCTGAAAACCAAACCAAACCCACTGCTATCTAGTCGATTCTGACTCATAGCAAGCATCCCTATATGACAGGGTAGAACTGCCCCAAAGGATTTCCAAGGCTGTAAATATTTATGGAAGCAGACTGCCACATCTTTCTCCCGAGGAGCAGCTGGTAGGTTTGAACTGCTGACCTTTCAGTTAGCAGCTGAGCACTTAACCACTTTGCGACCAGGGCTCCTGAGCCAGACCCAGACCCTCACCCTCGAAATTTTCATTCTTAGCCTCATAAGTGATTAGCTGGACAGCTTGCCCTCACCAATCAGTCAGAACAAAATGCTTGTCAACCAAACTTTGAGAAGTTTCTCTCCTGCCCCCCAGGTCCCTGAACTCCAACCACCCTCAGTCTGAGCCAACATACAGCCCCTCCTTCAGGGCCCCTCCTGGAGGATAAGCTGACTCAGCACAAAATGTTCTCTGATTTACTATCCCATCATGCCACCTTCTCATCCCACTTCCCCACACCTGGTTCTTCCTAGCCTTGTTTATTCTTATCTCTGCAAAAGAAAAACCCTTTCTTAATAACTCTTGAGACAATTGCTGATCTTATGGTCAGAGCGTTCTCCCTGTTGTAATAGTCTTTCCCCTAGCTCTATCTTGTAATCACCTTTTTTTTTTTTTATAAAAGTATACACAGCCAAAGGTACACCATTTCAATGATTTCTACGTGTACAATTCAGTCACACTGGTTACATTCTTCAAGTTGTGCTACCATTCTTGCTATTCTTTTCCATATTATTCTACCACCATTGACTTGAACCCACTGCCCCCTAAGCTTCTCATCTAACCTTTCGAGTTGCCATTGCCAGTTTGATTTGGAATAGATAATTCTTTAAAAGAACACAATGCTCAAAGAAGACGTACTCTACTAATTAAGATGAGTTAATTTTTGGCACAGAGAAGACTTCAGGGGATTATTTTAGTGTAAGGTTTAAAGATTATCTCAGAGCAATAGTTCCGGGGCTTGCAATCATCTTTTGAATAAAGTCTCCTTTTACCAAGTTCAGATTTGTTTATTTGACAAGACCTTCCGAGACGAGGGGAAATAAGACTGTCATGACTGGTTTAAGCCAGCCACGTGCTCTCAGCCTGCTCGCTGGCCAAACAAGGCTAATGAGTGGATAGTGTGGATTGGGGCAAGAGGAGGCAGGGGCCAGTCTGTCACCAGTGGCTCCCATGTATGGCTTCTCTGCTGAGTCACAGTCCCTCTGTCCTCCCCACAGACATCGCTGATGGAGGCAGCCATGGAGAGCGTCTACGTGACCAGCGCCGGTGTCAGTCGGCTGGTTCAGGTGTACTACCAGCAGATCGGGAAGGTGATGCCGGACCACGAGGAGAGGAGACTGCAGCAGCTGAGGACCCTGCAGGGTACGGCGCCCTCCACAGGGAGGCCCACAGGGAGAGAGGAGCAAACACTGAGTTCACTTTGGGGCAGGATAGGATTTCAGGTTTTTCTAATTTCATTTTTGGAAATTTAATTTTTTATTTATTTATTTTTACATTTTTATGTATTTATTTGTCCCCTGCTTTGTCCCACAAAGGGCTTGTGGGGCATTTACAGAAATATATGCATATAGTACTATCTTAGTTATCTAGTGCTACTGTAACAGAAATACCACAAGGAGGGTGGCTTTAATGAACAGAAATTAATTTTCTCACAGTTTAGGAGGCTAGAAGTCCGAGTTCAGGGCACTGGCTCTAGGGGAAGGCTCTCTCTCTGTTGACTCTGGTGAGAGGTCCTTGTCTCCTGCAGCTTCTGTTACCCTTGCATTCCTCAGTTCCATGGCGATCTTCACGTGGCATCTGTGTTCCCCACTGTGTACTTCCCTATCTCTGTGTCTGGGTTCCTCCTTATAACTCAAAAGTGATTAGCTTCAGGACCCATCCTACACTGAGGGGCCTCGTGAGCGTAACAAAGAAAATCCTACTCCCAAACAGGATTATATCCACAGGTAGAGGGGTTAGGATTCCAACACATATTTTTGGGGAGACACAATTCAATCCGTAACACATGGGCTTTCATAAAAGGCCACCCCAAGTGAAGGAATGGACAGTATCCCCAATTCCATCAATAATATACAGAGGTCCAATTCTTGAAGACCACTCCTTATAACATCCTTCCCTACATCCAGAAGCTTGAGAACAGGGTGGAATTCCATGTTCTCTGATGGGCTTTGACTGGATTATCCAAGGATGGGAGTTGGAATGGCCCCCAGAAGAACAGACGGGCAGCAGGTCCTTGGGGTGGTCTTCTCCGAATGTTATTTCTCTGAAGAGATCTCAGCTGCCGCCTTTCCCGTCCCCTTGTCCTGGGGAAACCAAGGCCCAGATTCAAATAAAATCTCACACACATACCACACACACCACACACATACACACACATACCACACAGGCATACCACACACACCACACACTCACACACACCACACACACACCTCACACCACACACACCTCACACCACCCACATACACACACCACACACACACACACACCTCACACTACACATGCCTCACAGACCGCACACATACACACACCATACACGTACACATATACACACACCTCCACACATACACGACACACATACACACACACACACACCACACACACCACAGACACTCCTCACACCACACACACCTCACACACCACCCACATACACACCTCCATACATACACCACACACAAACACATACCACACACACTCACCTCACACCACACACATATACACACACACACCACACACACACAATCTCTTTCCCAAGGGTGAAGTTGCGCATGCTGGTGAAAAGGCCACAAAGCTCCTGGAGAGCGTTTTGTCTCACCCATCCCCGTGCCCGCAGCACCCGCCCCAGGCCCAACACAGAGTCGGTCCTTCATCCACGCCCCTGAGTATTGTGTGTCAAATGCATCTAGGTGAGAGAGTGGAAAACTTCAAGCTGCAGAAAAAGCAAGAACTCGATGACCATTCACCAGGGGCCAAGATGGCAGATGGAGCCCATGACGCCCCCCAAGCCATCCACCAGAGGTGAGGTCACGACCTTTGTGTGAGTCCCCGCGTAGGCGCACTCCCCACCGCCTCATATCTCTGCTGCACGGATCCGCCTCTGCCACTGATACCTGTGTTTGCTACTTGTTACCGCCCATCTCCCTGGCCAGCGTTGAAGCCCCTGAGGCATGTCCCCTCTCCTTTCTGCCTAGTGTGGTGTGGTGGCCAGGAGCCCTGTGTAGAGTGGCACTCACAGTCCTGGACCCGGCACCTCTCTTCTTGTTCTGACTTTGGGTGCCTCAGAACCAGAGTCTGGGGTGAGGCGTGGGTGCCAGTTGTTTACGGGAAGTGACCCAGTATGATGGTTAAGGTTATGTGTCAACTTGGCTAGGCCATGATTCTCAGGACACCCAGGAAGCACAGTGGAAGTGTGGGCATAGATGTGTGAGGCATAGATGGGATGTTAGTTGTGTACGGCTGCCATAGTGGTTACCACAGACTTGGTGACTGTCTTAGTTATCTAGTGCTGCTCTAACAGAAATACCACAAGTGGATGGCTTTAACGAAGAGAGCTTTATTCTCTCACAGTCCAGTAGGCTACAAGTCCAAATTCAGAGTGTCAGCTCCAGGGGAAGGCTTTCTCTGTCGGCTCTGGTGGAAGTTCTGTGTCATCAATCTTCCCTTGGTCTGGGAGCTTCTCAGTGCAGGAACCTCAGGTCCAAAGGACAAGCTCTACTCCCAGCACTGCTTTCTTGGTAGTATGAGGTTCCCATGTGTCTCTGCTCACTTCTCTCTTTTATATCTCAAAAGAGATTGGCTTAAGACACTGTCCAATCTTGTAAACCTCATCCGTATAACTGCCACTAATCCATCTTATTAGATCATAGTGATTGAGTTTACAACACATAAGAAAGTCACGTCAGATTACAGAATGGTACACATCATACAATACTGGTAATCATGACCCACCGAAGTTGACAGATATTTTTGGGGGACACAATTCAGTCCATGACAGTGACCAAAACAGCACTAGCTTATTACCTCACAGTCTGGAGCTGGACTTGGCTGGTTTCTCTGCTCCGCCTCACAAGGCTGAAACCAAGATGTCCGCCAGCTGGACTCTTATCAGGGGACTGGGGAGAATCCGCTGCAGAGCTCACTCAGCTCACTGGCAGAATCCAGTTTCCTGAGGTCGTAAGACTGAGGTCCTGCTTCCTTGCTAGCATCAGCCGGGGTCACCTTTAGCCCCTAGGGGCCTCTCTCCAGTTCTTGCACGTGGCCCCTACATCTGAGAGCCAGCAATGGCGTCAAATCCTGCTCACGCTTGGAATCTTTCAGACTTCTCATTCTACTGCATCTCTCTGACTCAGCCAGAGAAATTTCTCTGCTCTTAAGAGCCCTGGTGGCGAACAGTTAAGTGCTGGACTGCTAACTAAAAGGTCAGCAGTTCAAACCCACCCAGCGGCTCTGCAGGAGAAAGACCTGGCGGTCTGCTATCGGAAAGATTACTGCCTAGGAAACCCTTTGGGGCAGTTCTACTCCATTACAGGGGGTCACTATGAGTCGGAATTGACTAGATGGCACACAATAAAGGCTCACGTGATTAGACTGGACCCATCCAGATAATCTCCAAATCTTAGGTCCATAACCTTGATCATATCTGCAAAGTCCGTTTGCCTTGTACCTGTTGCCGTCAAGTCGATCCCGACTCATAGTGACCCTATAGAGCAAAGTAGAACTGCCCCATAGGGTTTTCAAGGCTGGAAATATTTAAGGAAGCAGACTGTCACATCTTTCTCCCTCGGAGCAGCTGGTGGGTTCGAACCGCCGACCTTCGGTTAACAGCCCAGCACTTAACCACTGCGCCACCGGGGCTTCTTGTTTGCCATGTAAGGTATCCTATTTGCAAGATCCAAGGATTAAGACGTGGACACCTCTAGGGGGTGTCTTAGTCATCTGGTGCTGCTCTAGCAGAAGTACCACAAGTGGATGGTTTTAACAAAGAGAAGTTTATTCCCTTACAGTAAAGTAGGCTCAAAGTCCAAATTCAGGGTGTCAGCTCCAGGGCAAGGCTTTCTCTCTCTCTTGGCCTTCTCATCGATGTTCACCCAGACTAGGAGCTTCCTGTGCAGGGACCCCGGTCCAAAGGACACGCTCTGCTCCCAGCACTGCTTTCTTGGTGGTATGAGGTCCCCCTGTCTCTCTGCTCACTTCTCTCTTTTATGTCTCAAGAGATTGCCTCAGGACACAATCCAGTCTTGTAGATCCAGTCCTGCCTCACTAACACAACTGCCACCCATCCTCCCTCATTAACATCATAGAGGCAGGATTTACAACATAAAGGAAAATCACACAGTACCAGGAATCATGGCCCAGCCAAACTGATATATAGATTTTTTGGGGGACTTAATTCAAACCATGACGGGGGTGTTACTTGGCAAAAGGAGAAAAGCCAATTAAGTGTCTAATAAGGGTCCAGTGGAGCCCTGGTGGTGTAGTGGTTAAGAGTTCAGCTGCTAACAGAAAGGTCAACAGTTTGAATCCACCAGCCGCTCCTTGGAAACCCTATGGGGCAGTTCTACTCTGTCCTATAGGGTCGCTATGAGTCAGAATCGACTTGATGGCAATGAGTTTTTTATAAGGGTCAGAAGAGGGGCTACCTCTGAGGGCAACTTAGGCTCAATCCTATCCTGGAGCTTCTGAGAGGTCATGCAGGACCCAGCTTCCAGTTACTCGAGCAAGGGCAAGGGAAGTAGTATTTACCTGCCAACAGCCACCCCACTCGGCTGAGGGTCTGTCCTGTAGGCGTTGACTCGCCAGCCCTTCCAGCCAGCCCCTGACCAGGGCAAGCATGCCCTCATAGCCAGAAAAAGCCCCGAGACACAGACATGAGTACTAGACACAAGAAGCTACTGGCATTTCCAGAAATGTCCACCGAAGGGCAGGCGAGCTCTGGGGTGGGCTTAGGGGACGAGGGGACATGGGCAAAGCACAGACATGCCCCTTGTAAGCATCCACTATCTGCTGCTCCCCGAGCTCGGCACATGGGACAGTTTCTGCCATCCAGGAGCCCATAGCCTGGAGGGGGAACAATAAGTGGGTGCAGGCACTGTGCTGGGGGCCCTGCAGGACCTCAGGGAGGTCCCTAAGCTAGCAGAGGCATCCCAGCAGCTAGAAACAGTCAGCAGGACAAACATAGTCCGTCACATGCAGCAAGTTCATCCCTGCCTGTCTTAGTCATCTAAACAAAAAAAAACCAAACCCGTTGCTGTCGAGTTGATTCTGACTCATAGTGACCCTATAGGACAGAGCAGAACTACCCCGTAGGGTTTCCAAGGAGCGCCTGGTGGATTTGAACTGCCGACCATTTGGTTAGCAGCCGTAGCTCTTAACCACCAGGGCTTCCCCTTAGTCGTCTGGTGCTGCTGTAACGGAAATACCACAAGTGGATGGCTTTAACAAAGAGAAATTTATTTTCTCACAGTCTAGGAGGCTAGAAGTCCAAATTCATGGTATCAGCTCCAGGGGAGGCGTTTCTCTCTCTTTTGGCTCTGGAGGAAGGTCCTTCTCATCAGTCTTCCCCTGGACTAGGAGTTTCTTTGCGCAGGAACCCTGAGTCCAAACGACGTGGTCTGCTCCCAGCACTGCTTTCTTGGTGGTATAATGTCCCCAACTCTCTGCTCGCTTACCTTTTATCTCTTGTAAGATAAAAGGTGGTGCAGGCCACACCTCAGGGAAACTCCCTTTACACTGGATCAGGGAGGTGACCTGAGTGAGTGTGTTACATCCCACCCTAATCCTCTTCAGCATAATCCAATCTTGCCTCATTAACCACAGGCAGAGATTAGGATTTACAACATGAAGAAAATTATATCAATCACAAAATGGAAGACAACCACACAATACTGGGAATCATGGCCTAACCAAGTTGACACATATTTTGGGGGGACACAGTTCAATCCATGCCACTGCCCCTCAGCTCACCACTCCATCAGGCAGCAAGACCTGCACCATTTCCTGGGTCAGATGGAGCCTGACACCCCCTTCCTGCAAGAAGTCACCCCTCTGAGTGGGCATGAACAGCAGTCAGCAAATGCCCGCTGCTTAACTACAAGGACTTCCCTGACGTTCCAACATCCACCAAATACTGGCCATCGGGTCTCAGATCGGGGAACAGAAATGTCACCTGGCTTTCCTGTTAAACATGCAGATTCTGGGCCCCAAACCTGCATGCTCAGGTTCAGGGGGCCTGAGGGGGAACCCAGGGGTCTGAATTTTTAACCTCCACCCCAAGGATTCTGATGGGTGTGGTCCAGAAGACGCAGGGTGGGAGGGAGGGGGGTCTCACTTCCTGGCATCTGCAGAGCTGAGTCCCCCAAGGAGCCAGACAAGCAGACAAGTGGCAACAACAGAGTGACCAGGGCTGTTGGCAGAAGTGCGTATGGGACTGAGGCCACTCCAGCAATGATCTGCTTAGCCCCCTTGACGCTGTGAGAGAGATGCCTCAGAGTACTTACCTCAGCCACGTCACATTGACGGCTCATTCAGCTCACAGCAGAGTCCCACAGGGGCAGTGGTCTGGAGTTTTTTATTCACAGTTGTATCTTCAGAATCCAGCACAGCACCTAGTGTGCCAAAAATACTTTAATAGCGAGTAGATGGATGGACAAATGATAAGGGTCATGTGGGATGAATAGGAGTTCGCCAGCAAAGACAAAGAAGAGGGGAGAGGTATTGCAGGCAGAAGGAAGAACATGAAGCAGGACCTAGGTGACATTTGGGGGCCTTCAGGTACACAACATGGACCAAAAAACCAGCTGCTATCTGGTCAATTCCGACTGCTGGTGACCTCATGTGCGTCAGAGTAGAACTGTGCTTCGCAGTGTTTTCAGTGGCTGGTTTTTTGGAAGGAGACCACCAAGCCTTTCTTCCAAGGCACCTCTGGGTGTACGCGAACAATCAACCCTGCGATTAGCAGCCAAGTGCATTAACCCTTTGCACCACCCAGGGACAACTGTGTGCTGATGCTAAAGGTGGAC